CTTTCGACAGTAAAACAACGTAAATAAAAGAATTTAAAGAATTAACCGTAAAATTTTACGCTTCCTTGTTCTATTTTTATTTAATAATTTAATTTTTCTATTTTTATAACTTGTAAATTTATAAACTTTTTGAATGAATGAATTTCCTACATTTTATTTTCAGTTATTGCATTTTTCGCAGTAATAATAAATCAAAAAATTTAATAAATAAAAACAATTGCTACCTAGATACAGGCTGTGCCAGAACTCGAGCCCCAGAGAAAAATGCCATATAAGGTAAGATACCAGAAACATGGAAAAAATGTTAAAAAAATTTTATCTATAAAAATTTCGAAGTTATGAGAGTTTAAATTTTGCACATTGACTATTTATTTCTGCTAGAAAAATAATTTTCCAAGTTTTTTTGCTATAGGCTATTAAAATGGGAAACAAGAAAGCTGTATTGTAAATTGTAACTCCGTTCAATATTATTTGTGGCTTCTATTGACAAAATTTTTGTACTCTTACTAAATAATTGTAAAAAACATATACAACATCATCAGTATCATTAAATAGATATAATAAAATGTCAAATGATAAATGTCAAAATTTTTTGACAGATAGAATTTTTTAAACATTTTTTTCATGTTCCTGGTATCTTACCTTACTTGAAATTTTTTTCTGGGGCTCGAGTTCTGACGCATCCTGTATTCCTAATCTTTGCTACCTAAATATTTGAATTTTTTTATTAAAACTATTAAATAACGTTACTTATTGCAAATTAGTTTACTGTTTCCATTCATTTTATTCAATTTGTATTTTATTCCCACAGGCTTGTATTTTTGTTGTTTTATTTCTAATTTTCTATTTTTATTTTATTTCTTGTTTAATTTCTAATTTATTTACCACTTTGCTTATAAATGAAAAATTTAAATGAAACAAAATACAGTAAAATAAATTCTATTAAAAAATCGTTACCCAATTAGCCTTAATAAATAAAAGTTTCCGTTATTTTATTCTGACTCGTGTTTCATTTTTAGTACCTAGTCCAGCAAGAATTATCTTAATCAGATTAAACCAAAAAAAAAAAAAATAAAAATAATTTCCGGGAACAGAATTTCAAATTGGAAAACCCTGTTTCGATAAAAGATTACGCCGAAACCTTATTACAAAATCTTTCAAAAAAAAATCGTTACTCATTCGCCCTAGATAAATAACTTGTTTCCCTGCCATTTAATTCGACCTAATCTCCCTCTAAAACTGAATTCCTCCCACGTCTTTTAATTACCTATTTCCAAAACTTCCAAATTTCTCGTCCGTAATCCTCAATTTTTCACGTCGGATTTACCCTTCGTCTCTCTTTTTCCCATCACACACCGACAGACATACACATAATCGTTAAATTTAAATTTCAAATAAACCCCAGGTCCCGGCATGGGTCATTCCATATTTTATTTTCTCAACTGACGGCAACAGAGGCAACAATAGACCCACACGACACAAATTCCAACGACGTTTCGTGTATTAAAAGTCATTAGGGTAGAACTATATGTAGACGACGAAATTAGAAAAGCCCCTCTGCAATTAGAACACTGGGGCACCGGGACGATAGTGTTGAAAGATGTGTCTTTTCAAGTCGGATTCTAGTGTTTTTAAAAAGAAAAAAGAGAGCACAGCACGCTTGTTTGACGATACAAACTGTGTCAACAATGGGTGTTTGTTCGACAAACAAGATGCGGATTGCGGATGAAGAGTATTGAATTTTTTAAATATGTTTCGGCTTTTTCCACTTTAGCTATTTTATTACGAATGGAGGAAACAACGAAACGAAAAAAAATTGTTACAAAGCAAACAGAATTTAATTTTCTAATTAGATATACAAACCAATTAAAAATTCTCCCAGTTTCTAATTTTAAATTTTATCATTATCGCGATTAATGTTCACTTGTTTGTTTTCAATTTTTTATGTCTCATTAAAACGCATAATGTGTCATTCAGTTTTGCAATAACACAAAACATAAATCATAAAACAGTCGCAAAATCAAAAATAACACCGAAAATATGACGTTGCTTGCTTGGTAATGACTTAGTTTCCGCCCTAAACATCAGTCTCGAAAATGTGATTGGCGTTATGGCACCACAACGATAATCCGGTTCAAAATTTCAAGATATCTATCTGTTCACAATTACAATGAAAAAAATATGATGTAACTATAAACTGTTATTTTTGAGTTATAAAATGTCAAACTGTTTATCAGTTTTTTTTTAAACATATTTACGTTTGAAAATAAATTATACAGTTATACACCATGAACAAATAAAAGTATGAAAGTAAGTGACTTTTTTGATCATTTCCATTCAGAAAATAATAATTAATAAAAATTAATGTTCCATAAAAGATGTGATTGTGTCTTGAGAATGAAATTTTGTTGTTTTTGCGTTATACAACTTTTTATTTAAAATGGTGACTTATACAGGGTGATTCAAAAGTATTGGATCAACTTTTGAATGGTGCTAGAAGAAATGCAGTTTTTTGCAAGCCTTTTTTTTTGGAAAAAAAACAGAACTGACAATTTTTATATTATCATGTAGGCATCTGAGCTCTTTTGTTTTCGATCATGTCGGATTTAATTTGTGTTGAATATTCAAGAATAAACGGCCAAAAACTTAACCCAAAACCTAATCTTAAAGAGCTATTATATCTCGTAAAAAAAAACTTAAATATTTTTTTGTCATGAGAACTTTTAATTCAATTGGTCATTAGTAAAATATGGATGATTATAATGCTTAGATCATAACCTTTGTAAAAAAGATTTTACTCCTTACCGGAAATAAAGTTAAGCTTTATTCTCTCGTTTTCGACCAATAATCTACTGCTTTATTCTCTCGAAATTAAAATAAATTAAATACGAATTTTTACTTTTAAAATTGCAATTGAATCTTAATATTTTGACAAATTATTTGACATTATTTTACAAATTTACCATTTTCTAGTTATTATTAACTTAGTCTGTGGGAGGAAAAAGAGAAGAAAAAAAAACAAGCAATTCAAAAAATTATACAGGGTGCGCCAGAACTCGTGCCCCAGAAAAAAATGCCATATAAGGTAAGATAACAGGAACATGGAAAAAATGTAAAAAAAATTTCCAAGTAATGAGAGTTAAATCTTGCACTTTGACTCTATTTATTTTTGTTGGAAAAACAATTTTCCAAGTTTTTGTTACAGGCTATTAGAAGAGGAAGCAAGGAAGCTCTGTTCAATGTTATTTGTGGCTTTTATAAGCAAAATTTTTGTACCTTTACAAATTTATCTAGCATTTTATCATTCGCCAAATAGTTTTTTCAAAAATAAATAGTTTAAGCAAAAAATGGATACTTTCTTTCTCCTGGTATGTTTTTACCTCTTGTTATTTCGATTTTTCAGTCCGGTAAGGAATTGCTTACCACCCTATAGCCTAGTACTTGTTAGAAAAGAAAAAGTTTTCAACACAATAGTACATTCTAATAAAAGTTAAAACAGTTGAATCGAAAAAGTTTCGACTTTGCAATGCGATTACTTTTCGCCTTGTAAACCGGGCGGAAATTTGTTCTTTTCCTTGTCATAAGAAAACACTATAGCTTCTTCTCACGTATCATGTAGTCAAAGACAAATGTTTATTTTGTTTCAAATTTCACTTGTCGTCCCTTCTACCCTCCCAAACCCCTCAAAACACATAGCAGATTACCCGGATAAAACCTATCAACTTCAACGAGACGGCAAAAGCTGCCAGAACAGAGCTCAGAGCAGTTTTATTCGAGTTGACACGTTCTAAAAGGGTGCTCGAGATAAATGAGGTTTTAGGTATCACACCAAACTCGTTCCGAAATTTGCAAATTGATAGTAACACGAACAAGCACCGCGACCCGACTCAATTCTTTTTCCTTAACTTTCTCTTATTTTTTTTTTTTTCAATTCCAAGAAGAAACCATAGTTTTCTACCCACCCTTCCGTAAATTTTATGAATAATTTATCATTCGTCGTCGTCGTAAAGGTGCAAGGGGGGCGAAAAAGTACCATCCGTCACCTGGACACCAAAAGCCGATATCGGACACGTCCGTCGTCGAGCAAATGTCACCATCCATCTGTCATTCCATTTCGTCGGGAATATTCCCGCACCTCTCCCGGATTTCGTGTTCGTCGGACGACATTCCCGGATCGATAGGAGACGCGAATGGCGGTCGTCATGACAACAACGGGATCCCAAAACCGGCCGGCCGGTGCTCCAGCTCTCCCATTCATCTCCAACGGGACCTCATTTCGCCTCTCCTCACCAATTATTATCACTCATTATTGATTATTTCCACGATTTACAAGTTTCACATTAGAGACGGCAACCAACCAAACAATCATTTACATTTTTCGGATGCGGGTATACGGGGTGGATACCGAAATTGATGACAATTTAATTTCTTTATTTATCAATTTAGACCGATGATTTTTCAGAGGGGACCGGAAATGACACCACATTTCTCTTTTCATATTCAAATTATATAAATTATCGAAAAAATTAAGTGCTCTTAGAAATGTTTATCGAACGAGGGGAAATGTCTAAATTACGCGATAACCAATTAAAATAACTGATTTTATGACTATTCTCATTTAAAACGTCAACTGTGACGCTATAAAATTTTATTCTTACTTAGAATTAGAGTGACTATAATTTAATGGACTCGTGACCTGAGATTAAACTAAATCCAGATGTAAAAATTTTGATTTTTCAAGTTATTTAGCAAAAAGGCCAGAATTAAAATTCCACACCTCTTACTTAATCGCTCTTTACACGAAATTGGTTGCGCAAATAATTATTACCGTCACGTCCATTTATCGATTTTTTCCATTTTCCCTGTCGTTTGGAAATGAGCATTACCGTTGTTGCGCGACAGGAAATTGCATTAGAATCACGTCTGGACACCGGAAACGCGTCGTCCATTCCAACTACTTAACTTTCCGAAAATAAAAAAAAAAACAAGACAGAACCTACCTCTTCAGCAACTTCTTTAACTTCGCCATTCTTGTCCGAATCCTTGCTGGGTTTAGATTTATCTTTTTTCGAAAACGATATGCTTCTAAATGACCATTTTTTCTTTTTCGATTTCTCTTTACTCTTCTTATTTTCGGGTGTTTCCTCGACTTTACTATCCTCACCTGATGTTGGTGATTTTTCCGATTCGTTCAATTGATCACCGGCGGCGGTGGTATCGCCTTCTGGAGTTTTCGCATCTTCTGATTCCGAAACGCCGTTTTCTTTAATTTCGGCCGTTTCAGTCTCGTCTTTGGTACTTTCGTCTTTATCCTAGAGAAAAAAAAATATCGAGATTCATTTTCCGCCGGAAACGTGACAGACCAGAACCTTTTGACATTAGGGCGTTGTGGTGGCATCAACAAAATAATTAAACGGAGAACGCCACTGGATTCATTGTCGCTGCTTATGAAGCGGAGCAAAAGAACAAATCGAGCCTGTCACATGCGACCTTGACCACGTGCACTAACCTAACCCTCATCGAGTCATTGGATCCCCCTCGTATAGTAATTATCAGACGCGGTGTTGTCGGCTTTACGCCAGGATACGCGAGATGGGGGATTTTTTAACACTTTTTGTTCAATTGAAGCAGCCACAATAATAATAATAATTAACAAGAGTCGTTTGTCTGGAGGATTTTAAACGTTCCACAATTAAGTCTAATTTCCCACATGAATTGCATGAGACAGGCCTGCCACAACACTCCAATTAACAAAATGAAAAATTCCTTACGGCATATTCAATTTCGCTATGTATGGCACCGTTCGTGGTGACTTTATCGATTTCTGGGATTTTTTCGACTTTGCCTTCGCCCTCGACGGCGACCTCTTCGCCCTTTTTGGGGGTTGTCGTAATGTCCACCGACCTTTTGGACTGTCTAGCACCCATTTTTATCTGAAACAAACAAAAACGCACCATATTTACCCAACGATAAAGCGCATTTTTCCGATTAGGAAAATATTTATTCTCAGATACGGGGGACAACAACTCGGATTACTCACACTACGAAGGGTGGAAAACACTCGAAAATTATTCAAAAATTGATGTAAAAAATTGTAAAATCGATGACTTGTAATGTCACAAGAACTGACATGGGACCACTTGAATTTTTCTTCACTACAAGGGGAACGAACTGTCTGGTGTGTCAGTACGCCAGTACTGATCAAGGCTAACACGATACGAAAAAAATAAATAAATCTTTCGACGATCTGACTAATTATGCTGATTGCAATTCCGTGAAGATTATTAACTCGTTGAGTCAGTACTTACTGACTCTAACCCACTGACAAGATTATTTTATCGGCCGGAAAATTTCATGGTACCGAATACCGACGCATAATTTTCCGTCCATTTTAGACCGAAAGAATTCCAATTTGCATAAAGGTTGTCGTTTAGTCGCGACGTATGCGGATTATTGAATTATTTATGACGACAAGATTTATGATACGTGTGTGATGACAAGTAGGAAAAGTTCGTTTCGATGACAGTTAATTTTTTTTCCCGAAATATCGAATTTTATCAGTGTTATTTCTAGAACGTAAATAGAAGCAATTTTGGAAAACCGCGCCCATCTCCGGATATAAAAGTCAAAGATGTGATACGATGCATGTAACACAAATAAACATACAATGTCAACAAACTCAAATTCAGATATACACGAAATTAATCAAAAAATGTTACAACATACTATACACCAGGAGGAAAAAACTCGTGTCACATTTGGACACCCTCCAACTATTGTTACAAATGTTTCCGGTGGTTTTTTGACGCAAGGAATCGCTAATGACCCTAATGATGTCACGTAGCTCGGCGCTTGCATTCTTTAGACTTTGACCGAATTGCAGGTTTTAATTAAATTAGGACGAAAAATGCAATCAAACAATAGAATTGAATTTTGATAACACTGCGGCCGTGGTGGGCTTTTAAATGGTTTTTAACAATTGAACAAACGAAACACCATTTCACGAGCTTCAAATGCATTTCCGTTGAGAGAAAATGTCATGAGTACATACGGAAATGTTTAAACATGATAACCTAACAGTCGATCATGTCAACTAATATTTAAATACACGACAAAAATATCCGTTTTTTGAACCATTTACCTCTTGGGACCAATCTTCAGAGAAAAATGCCATGTGATATAAGATACCAGAAGCATGGAAAAATGTTTACAAAATTCTGGCAAAAAATTTTAACATTTGATCTATTTTATATCTATTTGTTGTGTTGATGATCTTGTGTTTTTTCATAATTATTCAGTAAAGGTGTAAAAACTTTGCCACAAATAACGTTTAACATTGTTATAATTCAAGATACAGCTTCATTATTTCCTCTTTTAATAATCTGTAGCAAAAAACAAAATCATTTTTCCCACAAAAATAAGTAAATGAAGTCAAAGTGCAAAATTTAAATCCGCATAATTATAGATAGAATTTTTTTAAATTTTTTCCATGTTCCTGGTATCTTGTCTAACTTGGTATTTTTCTCTGAGACGCGAGTTCTGAAACACCCTGTATGCGGAATATCAAAAATTCAATATCATAAAAATCGATTAAACTACCAATAAATAAAAGATCGAGAGCAAAAAAATACTAACGCCAACTTAGAACTCGATAGTGCAGCCACTGTATGAACAAAAATGTAAATCAATTGGTTGTTGATAATTTTTTGGTATCTATTTTAAACCCATTTTCACACGTGTATGAAAAAATACAATTTTTGTGTATATTATCTCAAAACGTTTTCCAAACTTTTTTGACCGCATCCTAGTATTTTTAATTTTTTCGTAGCCTTCTTTTATACAAAAAAACTTTACGTAAAAAGAGTTTTAAAATTATTGACATCTCGGTAGGTCATAGAAACGCAAATTTAAGGTGGCAACATTGGTACTTTGACAGTTCTATGTTGTTCATCTTTGTACGATTTGTACAATTACAAATTGTGCCATTTGTCGTTTTTAATGGGTTTTTGTGCCTTCTGACTCCTATTTTCCTTTCTGTTTCACGTTTCTTTCTTTGTGAAATTATTAGAATATAATATTTCTTTTGGACAAATAGGTTATGTTATTTTTCCAGACAAAATTCAATTGAAATGTCATTTTTTATCTAAGTACCACGATCTAAAGAATGTTCACATTAATAATTTTTTTGGAACTAAAATTAAAGTCTGGTTTACATTCTCAGCGATTACCGAGATGTCAATCATTTTGAAAGGTTCTATATTAAATTAAATTGTTGATAATAACAAGTGTTAAATGAAAATCAGATTATTTATTTCAAATGGACGTTATTAAATTTAATATATGCAAATAATATATCCAATATAAATTTGAGTTTTAATAGTGCTATTTTTTTTTAATTTTTTCATTAAAGCCGCAGCAAAATCGCCATTTCGACGCAATTTTCTTTGTCTTGCATACCGTTTTAAAAACCTCAGTTTGACCTTAAAACATTACTTCCACCATTACCATAAAACCACTCTGGCATTTTTTAAACTAGGCCAAAACAAACCGTGAATCACCACATTTTTCCTCATCCAGCAACCATCAATTTCTTACATAAATAAAAAAAAAAACAATCACGGCAATTACACCGAAATAACGAGCCTAGTCGAGCCTCATTTTTCCCTCCTCAAAAACCCAATCAAAAAAACTCTCAGGTAACTCGGAGATCACGAATGACCTCAACCAGCTGCACGCTGACTTTACCTTTTTCTAATCCAAAGCAATAGAACATTGTAATTCTTTACCGAAATTCACGGAAAACAATACCGATGACGTAGCTAAAAACGCCATCACATGCACAACATATGTGTTGTTGAGATGAAAGTTAACAAAGATCGCAGAGTCGACGACCATTAACTTCGAGGCCAATTTAAGCCAATAAGTTGAGGAGGCATCGTGCCAAAAAAATATTCCCAGCGCTCTTTTATCGACGAAAGAATGCAATTGATAACAAACAATGTGTTTTGTGTGGCTCCCACTCGTGATGGTCTTGACCTGTTGCATTTTTCAAAGACTTATCAATAAAAATATGAAAATGACCCTTTATTAGACCGGTTTTGTTCCACGATTATCAATAAATGTTCCTCATTTAGAAGAGATAAACTTATTTGCAATTCAAGCACGATAATAGCCTGACATTTACTTGAGCATGACATTAAAACAGTCGGAATTAAATTACAACAAAACAAATCCACCGTTTGCCAATACGAATTTCAAGCCCATCCAATGGAACCAAACGGTGTTAGACCACGGTTTTAACAAGTCTCGACGCTCTCGTGGGCGTTTCCCATTGTCCCGGAAATGGTAAACTGACTACATATCGTTCCAATGTCATGATAAGTAGTCAATTCGTTCGGATAAGCAAAGGAAGTGTCTCGTCATCAATATTCCGAGGTTACATTTTTCGAATAATTTGTACGCAAGAGGCTACTTTATTTTTAAACTTTCATAAGCATTCTTTCAATGGAGACATTGTACTCAAGTGATAAAAAGCCCATCAATGGACTCGCACAAATCCGTGCTAAATAAACTCACTAACAACTACTTTCGAAATAGATACAAAACAGACAAAGGTTAGAAATGTGCCCCAAGTTTATCACAAACGCATTCCAGAGTCTCGACTTACAACACAAACACAACTCCTCAAAAATCGACGATTTCAAATTTCAAAAACATGTCAATTACCGGAAATACTGACGCGATAACGCACAAATTTTTACAACACTACTCATCCGGAATTATTTTAAAAAATTCAGTCTCGTATTACAGCCATGCACCTGCAATTTCGCTTGCATGTTCTTTAATCACCCAACAAATCAATAATAAACCCCTTGAATGCTCAGCGGAACGATTGCAAATAAAAGAGCAATATAACATATTAGAGTAATTTTACTCGGATTAATAATGGGCTACAGGTGATGAGTTCCGGTACACATGCGAAAAACGCAAGGAAAAAAACATTACAAATGACCACAAGTGTGTGAAAATACGAAAGAAGTCAACCGCGAAACGGAGAATATCATTATGTAATAAGAAAAACGTTTCGTTGTAATTATCTTTGTTAAAAATGAAATTTCAAGTAATGATTTTCCGGATTTGTGGTCGCACCGGAAGCAACCGGAATTTATTTTTAACCAAACGAATTTCTGCGTTTTATTTGACTGATAAGTAGCTCGCAATTAGATAGTTATTAGTAAACAAAAGTGTGATTCACATTGAGTCACATTTCAACAATGCTTATCACTGCATAACCTGAATTATCGTGAAAAATTCCCTGTTATTTTTCATACAGAGTGTCCGACAAAAAATTACTCATTGACCAGAAATGTGAGAAATCAGAATTGCTTTTCACGTTTCTGTCAATAATTTAAAAAACGTCCTTCATGCAATATTACAATGTAAGCATAATAATTATTAATTTAATTGTCACGATTTAGAGCCGTAAACTTTTACTAGAGAATAACCGGTTCTGAGTCAAAATTAATCTTGAAACTGTCACACTTTCAGTACTTTATCCGCACCACAAAGAGCAGACTATACATCACGAAACTAGTTGGAAATACCGTTGAACCCACCAAAAACTCACCTAAATTTATGAAACAAAAGCTGCATTCGCTTGAAATTCTTGCGGTTATTTTAAAATTCGCAGCAGGTGGTATTTGGACTTGTTCAAAAACCCGGTTTACACGAAAAAAATCTGGTTATTTTTAATTTGGGGGTAAAATCCCCTAGTCTAAATTTAGTTCCAACGGGAGGAAGGAATTCATCGTGTTTCAATACGCGAGTATGTGGCCTTGGTTTTGAATTTTTTTCTACCAGCAGGCGCGTATTACATTGCAAGAAGATAGATAATAAACAAATTGCGTTTGAAAATAAGCGATAACTGCACAATGAAAGTGCAACAATGGTCGGTCTGTTGGGGATTTTCGGTGCATCTGCAGACATGTGGGTGCCACACCGACACCCCTGACTCACCCTCACTCCCGAACCCGAATTCGCCCCCTAATTTAAACAAAGGACGCAACTTTGCCTAACAACAGCCCCCGAGCCTCAAACATGGCCCCAATTTTTGAATTTATGTCGGGTGGACGGCAGGAACCGGCGCGCATCCCTGAATTTTAACGTCCCGAATCGCGAAAACTATGACTTTTTCGCCGGCAATTGTTACCGGAAATCGTCCCCCGGGACCAAAAATACACAATTTAATTGACGACTTTGCCAAAAACTTACTTTATCCTTATAAAATCCTACTTTAAACGAGCACAATTTCTACAACACAACGTTACCACACTACTTATTACAAACTTTTCTTTAACTAAAACGCGCATAATCTCGAATCAAAATGGCGTTTGCCCCACTATTATGCACCGAATGCGGGCGTGTGATTGGTCGGTTTGATTTAAGACGCTTTAGAATTGCCAACTGCTAAAAAACCACCCTAATAAAACTGTCAGGGTGTGGTTGGACATGTTTATGGCATTTAAAGGATGAGACTCCAATTATCATCCCATAACGTTACACCGAATTACAGCCTTTTACGGCTAGCTTTACGCTTGCAAAAACCAACACAAAGTCGTTATCTGCAAATTGAAAAAAAAAAAAACAAAAGAAAAACGTTAATGGACGACATCTGCAGGATTGCTAACACACTTTTGCGAACACCTGTCCCACCTTGAAAAACACATTTCGTAAAAATATCAACGCAAATGAATGCAGATAACGGCGAACAATCTGCTGACCCTGGAAAAGTAATAATGGATTTGGTTATGATTTTTTGATGATTTTTTCACGATTTAGTTGCGCGTGGACCACAACAAATGTAACCATAATTATTTTATTATTTTTATGTAATAAAACAAAAAATCAACCCTAATTAGCCCTAAAAAAAATAAATAAAAAAATGCCGTTTAAATTTGTAATCTCTAAGATTGGTAGCCTTGTAATTTGACAGCTACCATTTTGACAGTGTTTGACAGTTTCGAATTTTTGCTGAAAATAGCTCAGAAATAAGGTAAATTTCCAAAAATTGTGTCTTTTTTGCCAAAAACACACTCTTTAGATTAACATCTTGCGCCCCATTTGTCACAATGTCAAAACCGGGGACATCCGAAACCCAGAAACAAATCGCTCAAAAGAACTGGGAAATGGCCAATAAAGTCGAAATGGTGAACTCAGTCGACGACATTTACCGCTACGACAAAAAGCAGCAGCAAGACATCCTCGCCGCGAAGCCCTGGGAGAAAGAGTGAGTAAAAATCGGCCTTAACCTCACTTTTCTTCATTTCTAATTCCAGTCCCCACTTTTTCAAAGACATCAAAATATCGGCGTTGGCTCTTTTGAAAATGGTCATGCATGCCCGTTCGGGGGGCACCCTTGAGGTCATGGGTTTGATTTTGGGAAAAGTCGACGGGAATACGATGTTTGTTATGGATTCATTTGCGTTGCCTGTTGAGGGGACTGAGACTCGGGTCAATGCCCAAGCACAGGCTTATGAGTACATGAGTTCGTACATCGAGGCTGCGAAGCTAGTAGGCCGGCAGGAGAATGCGATTGGGTGGTACCACAGTCATCCCGGGTATGGGTGTTGGTTGTCTGGGATTGACGTAGGGACCCAGATGCTCAACCAGAATTTCCAAGAACCGTTCGTGGCCATCGTTATAGACCCCGTGCGTACGATTTCCGCCGGGAAAGTGTGTCTAGGAGCCTTCAGGACGTACCCAAAAGGCTACAAGCCAGCAAACGAGGAACCATCAGAATACCAGACTATTCCTCTAAACAAAATTGAGGACTTTGGGGTACATTGCAAACAATACTATTCGTTAGAAGTGTCGTATTTCAAGTCGTCGCTTGATAGAAGACTGCTTGATTCATTGTGGAACAAATACTGGGTCAATACTTTGAGCTCGTCCAGCTTGTTAACAAATGCTGACTACACAACTGGGCAAATTTTCGATTTATCTGAGAAATTAGAACAGTCGGAAGCGGCCATAGGCCGTGGGGGGTTCATCGTAGGCGGCACTGATCCCCACGAAAAACGAACCGAAGATAAACTGTTGAAAGCCACCAAGGATAGTTGCAAAACCACCATTGAAATTATTCACGGGTTGATGGCCCAAATGATTAAAGATAGGCTCTTTAACAGCACTTCCTTGAACACTACGAATAATTAAAGCATTTTAATCCGTCTTGTTTGTTTGAAATTAATAAATATTTATTTGTAATCGAATTGGTGTATTGTTGGTTGCCTATCTTCGAACTATGGGTGTTATTTTCCATATTTTGCAAAAAACCAACCGGATGCATTTATATTCCAGTGCAAAACATTATGCAAACAATAATTAAAACACTGTTGCGTCAACCAGTAAAATACAAATTCTCGAACAAATTTTTTTGAAAATAAAAATTGTTTACATATTGGAATGGAAGTAGAACAAAACAGATTCTTGTTACATTTATTAGAGTACAAGTGAGTTTACAATACAATTTCAAGGAGAAGCAATGCAGGACAAATATTTTCCTTAAATATTTGCTTTTAATTTTCATATGCAATTCTGTTGACAAGTGAGTCGTTACACACGTGTCAGACTAATTATTTAACTAAAATAACGGTTTTCTGACGTAAAAGGCCAGAATTGTAAAAAATATCACGTTTTGTGGAACATAAAATTGATTGATTTTTTACGGGTCCGGTGTGTCACTTGCCAAACCTGGACGACTTTCATATTTGCCAATAGATTACGATAAGCGAAATTAACAACATTGTTTTGAAAGTGTCGAAATACTTTCCTTATCGCCTTTCTTTTCTCTAGCTGTCATAAATCATCCAGTTTGAATTTAGCGCGTCGCGTCCACCAATCACACTCGCGTCCCGTGGGGTTTTTCACCCTGTCGTCTTGGCACTCCTGCGTCCGACATAACCCAATATTCTTGAGTGGTCCGTGATTTGACTGTGGTGTTGTCTTGCTGAGTTTCGTCGCATTTTGGTAACATTTCCCCAAAGTGAGTGCAAATTCGTGTGAAACTCGATCGCCCCCATCGCCAAGTGTTATGTTCAGTGTGAATCAGTGCGCGGTTTAACGACGAAACATGGCAGGAATATTCGATATTGAGTTACACGACGGGCTGCCCCAGAGCTCCGACGACGAGGATGATGCCATAGACATTGCAGAGGTGATTAAATAGCCCGAAATGAGCCCCCTTAGTGTCGTTCCTTTCCCACAGTCTGATTTCGGTGTCACACCTTGTGGCATTGTGCAACCCGAAATTCCTCTCGTTTTTACGCAAATGATTGATTTGGTTGACTCCTGAAGTCCAATTATCGAATTTTGTTTTAAATCGTTGCGAAATCTTTTCAGGATCAATACGACGAGCAGCCAGATGTTTCTGACATGGTTGAGTAAGTGTTGATAAGTTTTTGCGATAAGTTTTGTTTTCATTGATAATATTTAGCACTGCTGATACCGAGAGGGTGCAGGTGGACGAGAAGAGTGTGAACAAGGGGAAAAAGATCGGGAATGAGGATTTCCGCATACTCAGCGTTTTGGGGAAAGGGGGCTATGGCAAAGTGTTTCAAGTTATCAAAGAGACAGGCAGCGATAAGGAAAGCATTTACGCGATGAAAATCTTACACAAGGCTTCCATTGTACGAAACCAGAAAGACACTGCACACACTAAGGCTGAACGCAATATTTTAGAAGCTGTCAAGCATCCTTTTATAGTCGAATTAATATACGCCTATCAAACGAACGGGAAACTCTATTTAATACTAGAATTTTTACAAGGGGGCGAACTTTTCACCATGCTAGAGAAAGAGGGGCTCCTTTTAGAAGAAACTGCAATGTATTAAAACCACAATTGGTTAAAATACCTCAAATAATTGTCTCCTGTTCCAGTTTTTACTTATCTGAAATTTTACTCGCCATAGAACATTTGCATTTCCTGGGGATTGTTTACCGGGATTTGAAGCCGGAAAACGTCCTGTTAGATTCTAAAGGTCACGTCAAATTGACCGATTTCGGATTATGTAAGGAACATATCAGGGATGGAGTCTTGACGCATACCTTTTGCGGAACGATTGAATACATGTGAGGGGTGAAAAATCACGAAAACTATTATTTTATGTTTGATTTAGGGCTCCTGAGATTTTGACGAGAAGTGGACACGGGAAAGAAGTCGATTGGTGGTCGTTTGGGGCTTTGGCTTACGATATGTTGACGGGAGCGGTGAGTATTCAATGCGGGTGTTTATTGAATTGAACTTGAGCTTTGACGTCATTTGATTTTTTTATTATTGTCTCGGTGACAAAGAGACGCCATCAGATAGGGTTTCAATGACTTAAGTACATAGTTACAAGAAATCGATTTTAATGAAGGTTTGAAATCTTTTATGAAAGGAGAAAAGCAGTTAAATGGTAATTTTTCAATGTCATATTTGTTTGCTTAAACGGCTTAGTTTTTAATCTCTCAAGATAAGGTCGCAATGACCTTGACTTTTCCTAAATTATATCGCGCCACACTAATTAATGAAGTATGTCGAATTGTAAATATTTTTATTTGCTATTTATTTTAATTTCAATTTTATGCGTTATATGTGATCAAATTTATTAATAAAGCGAGTGTCACCGTTTGTTTTTTGTTAGTTAACGAGTCTCAGCTTGAATCGAAATTTCACATTTTTATTCAATCTATAATTTTTGCACTTCGTAAATGTGAGTAAAAGTGATTAAATAGTGGTTTTATTGATTTTATTGATGAAATATTTTATGAATATTATCGAGGTCGTAAAAATATAATTTTTAATAAAACTAAAATAAGTTCCGTGCGTATTAAGTAGATCAAAGTTATACGTTGTAAATAACTGTATTAAGTGTTTTTGACAATGAAAGGCTTTTGACCTTGTCAAACAGAAATAAGAATTACACGTCAACCTTCCATTCTAGATGGTAAAACTTGGCATAAAATAAAAAACTTACTCGAAAAATGTAATTTTTACATTTCAGAAGCAGTTGCTAAAAGTCAAAAAGTTTACAATTTTAACTTTGTTTTGGACGAAAAAATACATACAGGGCGTTCATAGACTGTTGAGAAGTAGCATCTCATAGAGAAAGTCCTAATGTGCATTACCGCTACACAGATTTCAAAAAAGTTTTCTTGAAATTTGGCGTCATAGTTGGCGGTGACAATGAGTGTGTTGTGAACGCACCACAATTTTTAATATGGCGAGATGTCAATTGTCAAATTAATAACATTCAATACGATATGGTTAGTTAACAATCAAACTTTCATGGATAGCTTTGATGCCTAATTAAAAAAAAAAAAAACATTCGTTACAAAATCTAGAGCTACAAACTTATTTTGTCAAGTTCTCTAATTCACATAATTTTTTCAAGTTTTCAATTTTTAATTTAATCAGTGGATAATTATTTTTGCATTTACTTTCAATATCTAGCAGTATTTGAATTTTTAAAAAATTATTTATACAGCAAAAAATTACCGTTTGCGGATTTAACAACACTGCATTATTTTTAGTTGTCCTGGTAACAATGTGTATTGCCCAGGAAACTGTTACTGAGGTTACAAAAATAATTAATTTTTATTGTTGATCAATTTTACAACGTTGCCACATTCAATTTTTCTTAATACGTTTTTTATCAATAACTATAGTGTACATAATTTTTTAGTAATTTTTTCCACATTTATTTAATTATATGACAATTATTAGCATTTTTTTAATGAAGTGAATTTTGGATTCATAATACATTGTATTCGGCCAATCACAAATACCAATTCAAAAATCACTGTTGCTCTGAACCAATGATATAAATAACCCGTCAACTTTTTCTTCGGGTAAGAATCGACTTGCGTGACAACTAAGAGTGTTAATTATCAAATTTAAGTCTAATTTGTTTCTTTAATATGTGAATAAAAAGCATAGTATCACATTCATAATTATAGACATTCACGTAGATGATTTGCGCCACTCGCCTTGATTTTGACATTTATTTTTTGATATTTGACATTTTTTTATATCCATTTAAGGATACTAATGATCTTGTATATGGTTTTTTATAATTATTTAGTAAAGGTACAAAAATTTTGTCAATAAAAGCCACAAATAACATTAAACAGAGTTACAATTTAGGATACAGCTTCCTTGTTTCCTCTTTTAATAGCCTATAGAAAAAAAAACTTGGAAAATTATTTTTCCAACAGAAATAAATAGTCAAAGTGCAAACTTTAAACCCTCATAACTTCGAAATTTTTATAGATATATTTTTTTAACATTTTTTTCATGTTCCTGGTATCTTACCTTATATGGCATTTTTCTCTGGAGCGCGAGTTCCCAACTTGAAAATTGGGTTTCCATAGATTTATGTATAATTTCTTTTCCAGCCTTCTGGTGCAAAATAGTAATTAAATTCTATCTTTGATAGAGCTTGTTCCAAATCTGGTGGCGAACTGACGTTGTCAAAAATGACTGAATTTTGACACTAAACATATGTTTACTATTAAAAAATATATTGTTCATAGGCGTCGTATGAAATAATATTTCAAAACCACTGTTATTCTTTAAAAAATTATAATAAGTAGGTACTCATACATATGATGAAGAATGATGAACAAATTATTAAATTGTTAACGCATTAAAAGAATTTTCAACAATGATATTCCTAACAATCCTTGTCTTCAAAATTTTTACAGAAAAAAAGTATCTTGACCAAGTGGGCGCACTCCAGGTGTCTTTTCTGTCACTGTCAGTTCGCCACCAGATATGGAATAAGCTCTAGTTACGAAGATACGCCTTTTTAAATGATATTAACTTTAATGTAACAATTTATAAAATTTTCAATTTGATTTATCTCCTATTTGTTATTTTGTTACTTGATACACTTTTATTCTGGGGTACAGAAATAAATTTCACCTTTTCAACCCGATCTGAATTTTTCTTTTTCTTAAGTGTTCACGTTGAAAACATGCAAACGCAATTAATTCGTGCAATTTTCCATCGTTTCGTTTAATTTTTTTGTGTTTTAATATAAAACATGGCGTGTTATCTATCGATGATTAATTGCGTCCTTGTTTGAATGTTATTTAGATAAGAATTGTGTAATATCTGTTACTGAATTTCAGCCACCTTTTCAAGGTGATACTCGTAAAAAGACAATAGAGAAGATTCTCAGAGGTAAATTATTCCTTCCACCTTATCTAACCCAAGACTCCAAAGATTTAATTCGCAAATTATTGAAACGTCAAGTCAGCGCCCGTTTGGGCACTGTCGACGGCGCATCGGCAATAAAAAATCATCCATTTTTCAAGAACGTCAATTGGGATGACGTTCTCGCCAAACGAATAACGCCACCAGTGCCCGAAAGCATGCTAAAAAAGAAAGAAGACGACACATCAAACTTCGATTGCAAATTCACCAAACAAACGCCTGTCGACTCGCCCGACGACTCGACATTGAGCGAGAGCGCCAACGAAGTCTTCAAGGTAATCGTCGGCGAACAAACGAGCGATTTAAAAACACACCGTTTCAGGGTTTCACCTACGTGGCGCCCTCTGTCCTCGAAGACATGTACAAAAGCAGTGTGAAAAGCCGGCCTCGACGCCAGCAAAGTCGCCTCGAGACGCGCACGCCCTCTCACATCGTCGACCACAACTACGTCAACAATCACGGCGAGCAATTTCGGGTAGCTAATACGTATTTGAATAATCACGTGGCCGCCGGTCCCGCCCGTTTCGAACCGTACAACCAATTGGATAACCACATCCGGGGGATTCCCATGAACGTGAATAATCACGTGATTGCTGGCCCCGCCCCTCGGGTGGTTAATCATTTCGTGCCGTTTAACCCATTGGATAATCACGGTGCGGTGATGGGGGGGCCGTCGGCCGTCATGGATACGAGTTCGGTTAGGTTAGATAATTATACGGGGGCGGGGAGGCCGCCCCCGCCGTTTCAAGTCCGAAATGCGAATAACGACGACATGATGTTTATCGATCGCAGGCTTTCGATGATGGACGTCAGTCATGATCTACCTCCTGTATAGTGTGGCATTTTTTTTATTTCAAACGCAATGTTTAGTTCAATTTTGTTTATATAATTTATTTGTTGTGGTTACCAATAGTTTAATCGAGAGGAAAAATGGACGTTGAGTGATTTTAACTTAGAGAATTATAGTTAGAACAATTTTTTTCTTTTTCGTTACCATAATTTAACCTTGCCGCGGAACATTATGATGATTCACAAGATTTTTATTTCTTCATGGAGAGATGTCGTAGGTTAAGGTTCGTTGTTTAATGGAGTAGATATTTTGAAAATGAATCAAGTGCACTCTGAACGCACTTTAGAGTTGTAAAAATTAATTCTTGTCGAGTTCTTGGAAGATAGTTTTGGTGTGGTTAAACGGTTGTGCTCTCCAAACCGGCCATAACTGGCACTAATGTAACTATATCGCGTTTGATAACAATTTCTCCTTTAAGCTTTGTATTGTTTTTTATGATATTTAAACATATTAGGTAGTGGTGGGGCTTCAAATTACTTAGTTAAATTTTTTTGAACAAAAAATAAAACTATTATATGACAAGGTGCTTTTATTTTAACTTTCTTTCACGTAATTTACGGGTTGTTTTTTAAGTGTAGGTAACTCACCTTGCACTCTAAACTTTCAAATTTGTGTTCGAAGACGATATTATGAAACCCCTTGTGAGGTGAAAAAATGTGTTCATTATAAGATAAATTTACACCAATATAGACTTTTTTATACATAAGTGTAACGTTATAATTGAAACAAAAAGTGTTTAGACTCAAACTGGTCATAATTTGTGCATTACGAGATGCAAGGTTGGTTATTGTATAGATGATGTCTAAAGATTGTAGTATAATTCTAGTTAAGTGGAATATGTTATTCATATTAATCTTTTATATACATATTTATCTTCATACTTAAATAATTTATATTTTACGATATTTATATTTTGGTCTTGACCCATTCAAAATGGGCGATATTGTTTCAAGTTGGGTCGATCTTCATTTCCCCGAGGAGCTCAATTTTTGATTTTATTTATCAAAAGATATGTTTGTAACAAAACCATACTAATAAAGTGTATAAATAAAAAATTGTTTGATTTAAAAAGCCCGCCATACCGGGGTCAAGTCGGTATCATCGCCAGAAACCACCTGACCCACAAAATGTCAAAATCCTAACCTAACCCAAAAATCACGCAATAACACCACAAAACCGCATTAAAGACGTAAAAAATGACAAAACTGGCGTGATATAATGTCAAAACTATTATTTCAAATCAAATTATGCAACCCGAAAGTGTTAGGTAAATCATATAGCCCCACTTTGCTCCTCAAGGTGAGTCTCGCGTCCCCCAGGCCCCCAATAACTCGATTTTGTAGAAACATGTCTACTTCACGTTACCTGCAGCCACTTATGTGAATAAATCCGACCGGAAGGCGACCACAGTCGCCCTCACTGAAGACGTAACCAAAGCATTTCCCGAAAAACCTTCGATAGTTCCAGCATGGCGCCCCACGCCCTCCACCGACCGCACAAACATCATCCAACAATACCTCAAACTATCCAAAATCCGCCTAACTAGTACGCTTAAAATCATAAAGTGTTACATAACTGAGTCCGTTTTTCAGCCCTCGTTGTGGTCACCTCCATGGCGGGCTACGCCGTGGCCCCTGCGCCGTTTGAATGGGGGCCCTTCGCGCTGTGCATAGCCGGGACAGGGCTATTATCAGCCGCGGCCAACGCCGTTAATCAGTTTCATGAAGTCCCGTTCGACGCTCAGATGAACAGGACCAAACAGCGGGTTTTGGTCTGTGGCCGGCTTACGTAATTAATTAAATCGGGGAAAATTAGCGTAATTAAGTGGTAATTAATCGTAGGCCGCTTCATTCAATTTTGTTTGCCGCAACTGCAAGTTTGAGTGGGTTAGCCATTTTGAATTTTGGGGTTAACGGCCTTACTGCCAGTCTAGGGCTCGCCAACTTCATCCTCTACACCTCCATTTACACCCCCATGAAGCGGATAAGCATTTTGAACACGTGGGTGGGATCAATCGGTACTTATTCACCCCTATTCTGAAAAAAAAAACCACTCGATTCAAACTGACACAAGTGGCAACACTGGCTAGACATTTAGTTATTTCAGGGCCGCCACCTGAAATAATTTTTTGTTTTTGATCATTTTAATTATTGGAATTGCACGAAAACGTCGAAATTCGATTATAAATTATCAGATTTAATAATTCAGAATCGTGGGAATCTATTCTATTTTATATTTTTTTATTATTTGTTTAAGTAGATGCAGCGTTGCCAGTTGTCAGTTTTTGGGCCCTTTTTTAGTGATTTTTTTCTAGTTGGTGCAATTCCCCCGTTGATGGGTTGGGCCGCCTGTGCCAATTCGCTGGGTCCTGGTGCATGGCTGATGGCGGCCCTTTTGTACAGTTGGCAGTTCCCGCATTTCAACGCTTTGTCCTGGAATTTGCGCCCGGATTATTCCAGGGCCGGTTACAGGATGATGGCGGTCACAAATCCGGGTTTGTGTCGACGCGTGGCCCTTAGACATACCATTGCTCTTGAGGCCATGACGATAGCAGCGCCATTTTTAGACGTTACCAATTGGTGGTTCGTTTTAGAAGCTTCACCGTTGAATTTGTATTTTATTTATTTAGGTAAATGGCAGAAGCGGTGTTGCCAGTTAATTGAATTGAAATGTTTCAGCTTATAATTTTTACAAAGATTCGTCCAGTCAGACCTCCCGGAAGTTGTTCCGGTTTTCGTTGATACACTTGCCGTTGTTGATGATTTTATTCCTGGTAAATAAAAAGAAGTGGTTTGTTTTCGACGAAGAGCCCCAATCTAGTGTAAAAAACGTAGTAGCTGTTACTTAATTAAAAAATAAATAAATTATTTTGAAAGTATTGTTTTGTTTGACTGGGGATTACCCCGATTACCTGAAAAAACACTGATGCGATTACCCCGCCTCTAGGCCAATAAAACATGGCATTCTAAGGACTCCGCCCCTCGGTGATGGGAGGGAGGGATATCCTTGACGATACAAGCCATTCGTAATGTCAGGTCTCATCTGTAAAGAGGCTTTGATGTGCTTTGAAGGTTTTACGGCGAATAAGTTTCGACGTTTGGACTATTGTGTCAATTATGATGCGAAGAACGAGACGGCAATTTTTTTTCAAAGGGGTTGTACAATTAGTTGAGAAAGATAAGGAGGGTTGGGGTAAATAAAGAGTCGATTGATTAAAAGTGAATTTGTGTCGAATCTGCATTGTTTTTCTACGAAGGCTCTTGTTGGAAGTATTTAGGTTTTACGCTAAAATCAATACGCGGAGCTATCGGATTGATTACGAACTGTTTTAAATAGTTAAACAGACTGGGGTTTCGTATTGTATTCGCAACAAGACCGGAGCTTAGGTCTTTATTAATCCTTTCCCACTCTAAATTAGTCATTTGCAATAAAAAAATCACCGAAAATTAAATAAAAGTAGATAATATAACCGTTTTTTTTTTAATTTGGCGTCAAAGCTATCCATGAAAGTTTGATTGTTAACACACACTCATAGTCACCGCCAACCATAACACCAAATTTAAATAAACACCCGTTACGTTTTTATTTTTTTATTTTTATTCTTGAAAGGTGAAATAAAGCAAATACAAAAAATGTGTTTTTAAATTATTTTAACAATGGTCTGCACTCGGAAAGCAACGACCGATTGAAGACCGCTGAAGTAAAGACGAATTATTGTAAAATTCCATCAGTTTCTATCTATCTATTAAAATTGTCTCATTTTGATTTAAAAAAAAACAATTTTTAACAATTTACTTACAAAGACAATTTTATTTTTTTCTTAAAAAAAACGTATAGCCATAATTGGCATAATTCACATATTAATTTTCAATTTTTTAGTTTTTTAACTGAAAAATTAAAATCTCGAGTACCTAAATGTTCAAACTAAGTGCCTTATTTCAATAAGTTTAAATTAAAAAAGTAAATTGTGTAGCTTTTTTGTTAAAAAAAAATAAGAGGATGCAGTGGGTTAAAAAATTGTAAAAAATATCGGTAAAGCACAAAAGTCGTTCAGATTGCCCGTCGATTAGATATAAGTTTGGATGCGCCCTTTGTGAAGTTTGATTAAATCACACGGTGTAAACACAGAGAAATAAAATACAGAGCAGAAAAATAACATTTTTGATGTCTATGTTAGGTATAAGAATTTCATTTATTAGAATCTATAAAATACTGCAACTTCTCAAATGCATTACAAAAGTTTTTCCGATATTTTTAGTTATTGATGGTCAAAGAGGCCAGTGACTTTGGAATTAAGTTGACAATTTCTTCAATGTTATTAACTTAATTTTAAAGTCACAGCATACTTTGATCAAAAATGTGGGTAGGTATACATACCTACCTAGGCACGTATTCAAAAACTACTTATACCTAATTTCAATTTTTCGAAATTGCTTTTTGTTTTTTTAGCATTTATTCAAATGTGTCTTTATTGTTAATTGTTTTTTGTTTCAATTTTTCGAAATTGCTTTTTGTTTTTTTAGCATTTATTCAAATGTGTTTTTATTGTTAATTGTTTGTTTTTAGTTTAGAACTAGTATTCATGTATAGATATCTAAAAAATATCAAAAAAGGTCCTGTTTTGTTAGGCAAAAAGTAAATAAAACGTAATTTTTTATTTTGATTCTTTTATTTTTTAACTTGTCATTATTATTTGAGGTTTACTCGTTTCTTGTGAAAGTATTTTTTATGATACTCTATTTTTTTTTAAAAACCTAAAAACACATTAGACAAAATAAACTCTTAAAAACCAACCTTAATTTTATTTTTGATAGGAAGACGTATTAATGATAATAATAATAAGAACAATAGGTAATACTGTCTTTGCTTACAAAAAAAAATGTTTTACTAATTACTTTTTAATAATTGTTGAAATTTCTGAAATTACAACTTCAAAATATCATGAGTTTTCCGTTATTTACAACAAGATTATAACGATGGTATAGTTAAGATTGGTACACTCTGTTTAATTGAAAAGTGTTGTTTTGTGAAAAAACGTACCTATTGCTAGGAGGTATGTAAATGATAGGATTTTGAACATAATTTGTAGCAGAAAAAATAATGTATTCATGTAGGTACCTACTCTTTTTTATCATGTAATTCAAGTGTTTTACTCCGCTAAATTAAAAAAAGAAATAAATAATTTATGATAGGTAAATTAAATTAGCCTTATTGTAGGTATCTCTGAAACAAATATCAATTCAATTTAATAAACCATTTTAAAATATAAGCTATGCAATAGTAAATTAAACAACAAGTGTTACAATGCACCAGTATCACAATGAGAGGTTATAATACGTGTTTTTTCTACTATTTCTTCTATTGAGCGCTTTTTCAATTGAATTTATTATTAGATTAAACGGTTAGAATTGATAACATTTGACGTATGCGGTAAACAATCTGTTGAAAATAGACCAAATTACTTTAATTTGGATGAAATATACCTACAGTCAAATTGAAAAAAAGTGGTCGTCAATGTCACATATTGACAAAAATTGATTCCTGTGTAACTGAACGTAATTAAATTTACATAAATAAATTGCTTGGCATCATGAAGTTTGTCATCAAATCAATTTTGTTGTCAAAATGAAAATTATTTATTATTTATTAATTTTTGAAATGATTTTGACGACTACTTTTTTTGAATTTGACTGTAGGTATGTTGATCTACAACAATTTATCAAAGGACAGAGGACAGTATGCACTGTTATGCAGTCAATGGTGGCAAAAGTACCTATTGCAAAAAATGTTGCCAAAAACAATGTTTCAAAGTTGCATTTTGTGTAACTTTGTGCTTTGTTACATAAAATGTTCGTTGTCACACCGAAAATATACACTTAAAATTTAGAAACTTGAAATTTTCTGTTTTCCCCAAGAGGCCGCGACCTTAAACAAATGTACTACAACTAAGTAATTCCAAAAAAAAAATCCCCGTAATTGCAGTAATCTCTATAATTCCAAATTATTTCCTGAAATTCTAAATTCATTCTGATATTTCTAAGAAATTGAACGTCATTATGAAAAGAAGTTATTTCCAATAATTCCTAAAAGTATTAGTAATTTTAGAAAAATTCTAATAATTTCCAAAAAAATTCACCCAAATTATAGTAATTCCATTATTTTCAGGTTAATTTCTGTAATTCTAAAATAATTTCTCTAATTCCAAATTAATTCCGACAGTTGTGAGAAATTCAACGTAACATTAAAAAAAACAAAAAGCTCCGATGATTTTCAAAAGAATTTCAGGTATTCTAGAAAAATTCCAGTAATTACAAATAATTCCAAGCAATTTCGATTAAATTCTGAAAATTTATACAACTAATTCCAGAGTTTTCCAGTCAGCTTATAATTGGTATGATTATTTTTTTGGACTTCCTATTTTTTCCATATTTGAACATTTTTGATTTCTAACCACTCTGTGTAGAGTTAAAATTCAAAACTGAAAATTTCCTATTTTTTATGTTTTCCCACTCATCAACTTTTATTGTTTTTATTCTACTATTAATTTTTTTGGACTTCCTATTGCAATTTTTTCTCCATATTTATACCTGTGATTGTGCTACTTATCCCGTCATAAAAATCCTAATCTATTGTAAAAACTGGTCGGTCTTAATCCTAATATTCATAATCTGCGTCCCCCCAATCCTCCCATTGTCCCTCATTTTCCCCGTCCCATCTCGCATCCGTTAAAACTTACCACGTCGTAAATAAAACGCTTTTCTCATCATCTCCCATATCCCTGCCTCCCTAATCCGTCCCTTCAGTAATGAGTAAATACGCCCCGATTACTAATAAACACGTCTGCGGCCCTTTCTCGCCGTTGACAGCTCAATTCGTATCATTCAGCGCAGAGCCCTCGCCGGCCCCTCTCGGGGGCCACTCATTGGAGCGGCACGTACCAATCGAATCGTTCGGGGCGTTCCTCGCCGTCGTCGACTTGTTCGCCACTCTTTTGGGCATCCACCAGTGATGGTCTGTCTCAGGCAGCGACCATAAGCGAAAAACTGGCGGAGGTCAAACGCGAGAGTGAGCCGGAGTGGTGCGACGCCGCCGCCGCCACCGCCGCCGATTTCCACGACGACGACGACTTCAGAATGGTGGAGGCGGCGCCCAGACATCACCAGCTGTTGGGGAACGTCTTCGGAGAGGGCTTCAAGCCGGTGTTTAAGAGGGGCGCGACGCCGACGACGGCCAGTTCGCTCTTCACCATTGACAGCATCTTGGCGCCGAGGCCCAAGCCGAGCAGTCCGCAGAGGCCGGTGCTGCAGCATCCGGGGCTGCATTTGGGGCACATCGCCGCCGCGGGCGGGTTTGGCGCCTCCTCGGCAGATTTCCTAGGTGAGATATCAAGTCGGAAAAATTTTCTCATGTCTTTTAATTCGTTTTTTCGAGATATTAACCAGACAAAAAAATATTTTTTATCAAAAAAATCATCTAAATAAACGAAGTAAATTACTAATTTTTTAATTTCAACATTTTATACTGTGTAAACATTGTTTTTATGTAATTAATGAATAAATAATTAACAACAATTTTTATTAAAAATGTGGGTGAAAAATATTTCTTCAGCCAGGATTTTTTTTGCGTTTTTTCTTCTTTTCACTCGACATCGACTTATTTTTTTGTTTAAACAATTATTTTTTAAACTTTATCATAATGTGGTGCTAAAATTTGTGTTATGCTCAATTAGACTTACTTAGTTTCTCTCTACTAATATCATTATCTTCTGTTTTTGTGTTGTCAACTGTGATATTTCTTATATGAGTAGTGGATTAAGTCAATGATAACAATAACTGATATTTTTTTCACAAGATTTATGTATTTTTCTCGTCTTAATTCTGAAAAAAGTTGACAAAATGGAGTGTTTGCTTGTTTTCTCCATTTTGTTTTATACGAATGCCTATTAGGTACATAATAAAAATTGCTGTAATTTTTTTTGTAATGAAAATATTCTTAAAAATATGATGAGTGAACAAAAGAATCTAAATTTTATCAAAAAAATTCAGAACAATTTTTTGTTGAAAAAGGAGTTTGAAATAGTTATTTTCTTAATTATTTAAATCCAAAAAAAATCAATATCTGCATTTCTATTAACATTTTAAAGAGAAAAAACAAGTTTTGTGACTTTATTAAATCTTTTTTTTAGTAGGTACCTATTTATTTTTTGTACCTATATTCGAGAAATTTTGTTTTTGCTTTGTGTTTTTTTATATTGTCTGAAGTTTTATTTAGTGATTCTTGTATTGTTTACATGGTAGTACATTTTTCCTATAAGTATGCCTATTATACCAGAGTTTCAAACAATCTGTTGTGAACTATTTTTAAGTCCTCTTTTTTAATTTACTTGGCATTATTTTAATAATTTTTTATTTGATTCAGTATTTCAATTTTTTTAATTTAAATGAAACTCCGATATTTTATTTTTATTTTATTATTTTGATAGGAATAGGGTTAAAAGATATTTTTTTTATTTAGGTATTCAAACATCAAACAATATAAAAATCCGTGTTCTTTTTAAGGGTAGGTATTTCACATTTTTTTTATTTCTAACTAGAACAAAATGTATGATGTACCTACCACTTTCCTCACTATGTCAATGTGGACCTATACTGTAATCAAAAATGCATAAAATTCTATTAGAATATTAAACTTGGCTGAGAAATAAACACAAACTGAAATTAGTTTTACGACTAAACCATTACATTTGTTTGTTTTTTTTTATATAAAAACGCGTTATTTTAACTGTATTCCAATTGGCTGATCTCTACTTCTGTACCTTAGTTCTGCTACGTCACAGTAAACCCGCGCAAAAGTTCTGTTTGAAATAGAATCTAATTTTATACTCTTACGATTTTTTCCCTCTATTTTGAAGCGAATTTAAAAAGTTTTAATTGCAGTTAGCTTTATATTGACGTTATTTTCTAATGCACCTGATGAGAGAAGACAAAATTTTTATTTAAACTGCTAGTTTTAAATTTCTTTGGCTCTAAATGGTTTAATTTTATTAAATACTGTGACAGAATCATTTGATTTATAAGTTTTCTTCGTACAAAATGCTCAAAATTTATTGCTATGTCTGAGAAAAAAATTCTTTCTCCAACACTTTTATGTTGCGGTTAATGAGTGTAAATCGGACTCTTTATTTGACCGAGTGGATTTTTAAACCACGAGTGCAACGAGTGGTTTACCATCCACGAGGTGGAATAAAGCGTCCGATTTACACTCAAACGAGGGGAATACAACATTTTATTCTTCGAATTAKAGTCAACAAGGCTTAAACTTGYTTTAAATCTGYTAAAAATAATTTGACGTTTTGTATTGAGAAATGCCAAACAGTTGTCAAAACTTCCTTACACGGGAGAAAAACCGTAAATTTTGACAGTGTCGAAGAATAAAATACTTATACCTACTGGCAATTCGTCAATTTTGACAAATATCTTTAAAACAATTTCTGAATTTAATAAAATTTCTGATCCAAAAAGTATGTTGTAAAAAATTTTGAAGACAACACAAGTTTTATAGTGTAAAACTTTTGTTGTCTTAATTAGCTAGGTATAAAAAATACCTCCTCAAGTTGAAATCTGATGTTAATTAATTTGTACCAAAGTTCTAAATTTGTATATTAAATTCACTAAAACTTGTACTGAAATTAATGTAGCTAGTTTATTTTTTTCAAATTTTGATAAACTGACAAATGCAAAAAATATTTCTCTATCGTAGTAATTGCAAAAACTTAATACAAAATTCAGTCATATAGTAATACTCACTAATACAGATATTCTAATAGCAGAAACGACATTAGCAATTTATTATAGTCAACCCAAATGTAATATCGATTATCCTAATTATGAAGATAATGTAATTTGGAAGATAATTAAATTGCGATATTAGCTAGAAACTAGCTAACTAGGGCTTTAAATAAGCAAGCGCTTAAACGATAAATCATCATTCGAAAATAACAAAAGCTCAAATAGAATTGGAAAAATACTTTTAGTAAGTACAATTCGTACTGACATTGATTTTAATCGAATAAAAAAATGTAAGCGTTTAAAAAGAGGAAATCTGAATAGGCGAATAATTAAAAAAATCTACAAATGTTTTTCTAAAAACCAAAAAATAAACTTTTCTTTTTTTAGCTTTAACATGTACCTATATTTTAAATATAAATTAGGTACACAAGAGTCTCGCTAAACCGGACTTTCGGTTAATCCGAACAAACCAGATCGAGGGCAAAAAAGGCCCATTGTAAATAACAAAGCTACTACAACACAACCCATTTTCCGGGAAATACCTACCCCGGAATTGTCCTTTTGTTTTATCATAATACGTATGTAGTATTTAGACTGAAAAAATTATAATTAGGTGTGAAAAAAATCTATTTTAAAAGTTTCTTCCAACCTTAAAGGTTACCTTTTACGTTGCCGTTAATGTAGCTACAGGATGTCCCAAGCTTTAGAGCCGGCGCAAAAATTAATATTTCTTATTAATAAAAAAAAAAAATAGATAGTGTTAATGATAGACCGATAGAGGGTTAAATACACTTTAAATTGATGTTTTGATATTGTACAAATTTTTTTGCGTATGGCAGTGAGACCTTAAACATTAAATTTGGAGAAAAAAATTTCAATTAAGTGGAATATTTTCCACATGATAAAATTCTTTGATTTTTTTCTGTGGTATTTGTGAAAATAGAATAATGATAAAGTTGAAAAGTTTTGAATGTTAATTACTCAAAATCTGCCAACTTTTACATTATTCAACTTTAGAAAAAATCAAAAAAATTTATTATGTAAAAAAATTCCGATAAATTAATTTTATTTTCCAAATTTGGTTTTTAGGATCGGACTGCCATTTTTTTTAATTAATTAGAAATATTTATTTTGCGCCGGCCTTAAAACTTGGGACACCTATACACTTTTCCATAAAACACGTCGTCAATCACATAAAATATAAATACTTATATTGGTATTTTGTCAATTTTGACAAATTTCTTTATAACAATTTCTGAATTTAGTAAAAGTTTTAATCCAGTATTATAGTGTTGGAAATTTTTTGAAAACAACACAAGTTTCATATTTTAAACTAGGACCTCGATTTTTAAACTACCAATTCTTGTTGTCTTAATAGCTATTTTACTCATTTAAAACTCATTTTATACAGCCATTTTAAGGCTCATTTCGTTTAATCCGGACATTTGGTAATCCTGACAAGGCCTGGTTCCATCAAGTCCCGATTAGCAAGTCATGAAAAAAGATCGTCAAATGTAATTTTTTCATTTAGTTGGAATTTGTAATCACAGAGATCTTTTCTTAATCGGCTTTGAGAATGTGTGGACGTTTCTGTACTGAAAAACCTTGTCATTTGTGATCGTGGGTGTAAATGTATCAGGAGAATAAAGGCATTGTAAAAATATCGCTCAGTTATAGAAGTGATCAGTATGCAGGCATTCACGCTTGAAGCTCGGAATAACTAAGTAGAAAATCAATAAGTGTTGTGTAAATCCCGTAAGAATATGGAGATTCGTTGGTAATGTGTCGAGGATTGGCGTCTGATCAAGTGTGAATTCACGCCGACTTAAACTCGGCAGGTGTGGCATTCTATGTTTTCGTCCATTTCGAACATTTCTTTACATCAGAGAAGAAAAAAAACTTTGCACGAATATAAAGTAAGCTTTTAAACGTAATTCCCACAAGATTAAAATCGCCTTATTTAAAAATCCGCCAGTTTTTAAGTAACTTTTAAGTTCTGCGATGCATACGAATAAAAGGGGAAAATTCACCGCCGGAGGCCACCCTAAATATTATTATTTAAAACAAAATCTAAACAGCGGTGATTGATTCGGGGAGGGCGCTTTCAGCGGAAAAATACGCCGGGACACATGGAACAACATGTAAAGTTTGTCCCAAATTGCAGCACCGTCGAGGGCGAAGTATCACATCAAGACATGCCAGAGCGATCACTAGACAACAGTTAATAAAAATGACACAAACACAACTCTACAGCAATCTGAAACGGATTTTAGAGTCATTTTATAGAAGAAAAAAAATCAAACTATTGTATATGTCAAGAATTATCCAGTGTAATACTGCCTTTTGACATATTTCAAAGTGAAGTTGCGCAATTTCCAAGTTTTTACTTTAACCACAAAAAAAAGACAAGAATTTGTTCTATAGCTTAATACATACAGCACAAAGAAATTTCAAGTCTATACACACTATCAAAAAATCAGACGTTCAAGAAGCGATTGAAAATATCAAGAGTGCTCTCAACTCTCAACAGCAACAGAAACGGATTTTAAAATGATTTTTAGAGAAAAAAGATTATCAAACTAAAGTAGATTTCAGGAATTGCTTAGTGTAATACTGCCTTTTGACATAATTCAAAGAAAATTTCCTAGTTTTAATTTCCAACTTCTTTCACTTTAACTGCAAAAAATTTACAATAATTGATTCTATAGCTTTATATACACAATACAAAAAAAATTAAAGTCTAGATTACACTAAGTATCTATCAAAAAAAATCTGACGTTCAAGAAATGATATCTTCAAAAGAGTGCTCTCTACAGTTATCTGAAATATATTTTAAAACTTTTAAAATTTCACTTTAACCACAAAAAAATCACAATAATTTGTTCTGTAGCTTGATATACACAGCACAAAAAAATTTAAAGTCTGGGTTACACTATCAAAAAAATCTGTCGTTCAAGAAATGATATTTTCAAAAGAGTGCTCTTTATAGTTAACTATCTGAAACGGATTTTAAAGTGATTTTTGGAGAAAAAAAACTATCAAACTAAAGTACATGTTCGGAATTGTCTAGTGTAATACTGTCTTTCGACATATTTCGAAGAAAACTACCTAGTTTTAATTTCCAATTTCTCATTTCCCAACTTATAAAATTTCACTTTAACCACAAAAAAATCACAATAATTTGTTCTATAGCTTGATACATAGGTACAGCACAAAAAAATTTAAAGTCTAGGTTACACTATCAAAAAAATCTGACGTTCAAGAAATGATATCTTCAAAAGAGTGCTCTCTACAGTTATCTGAAATAGATTTTAAAGTGATTCTTATAGAAAAAAAAACTATGAAACTAAAGTACATTTAGGAACTGTCTAGTATAATACTGCCTTTTGACATATTTCCAAGAAAACTACCTAGTTTTAATTTCCAATTTTTCATTTCCCAACTTTTAAAATTTCACCCTAACCACAAAAAATTCACAATAATTTACTCTATAGCTTGATACACATAGCACAAAAAAATTCAAGTCTAGATCACACTATGAAAAAAAATCTGCAGTTCAAGAAATGGCATCTTCAAAAGAGTACTCTCTACAACTATCTGATTTTAAAGTGATTTTTAGAGAAAAAAAACTATCAAAGTAAAGTACATTTCGGAAATTGTCGAGTGTAATACTGTCTTTTGACATATTTCAAAGTAAACTACCTAGTTTTAATTTCCAATTTCTCATTTCCCAACTTTAAAAATTTTACTTTAACCAGAAAAAAATTGCAATAATTTGTTCTATAGCTTGATGCACACAGCACAAAAAAATTAAAGTCTTGATTACACTATCAAAAAAAATCTGACGTTCAAGAAATGATATCCTCAAAAAATTCCCTCTACAGTTAACGGATTTTAAAGTGATTTTTGGAGAAAAAAAAACATCAAACTAAAGTATATTTCAGGATTTGTCTAGTGTAATACTGCTTTTTGAAATATTTCAAAAAAAACTACCTAGTTTTAATTTCCAATTTCTCATTTTCCAAGTTTTAAAATTTGACCCTAACCACAAAAAAATCAAAATAATTTATTCTATAGCTTGATACACACAGCACAAAAAAATTAAGTTTAGATCACACTATTAAAAAAATCTGGCGTTCAAGAAATGGTATCTTCAAAAGAGTGCTCTCTATAACTATCTGATTTTAAAGTGATTTTTAGAGAAAAGAAACTATCAAAGTAAAGTACATTTCGGAAATTGTCGAGTGTAATACTGCCTTTTGACATGTTTCAAAGTGAATTCCCAATTTCCCAATTCCCAAGTTATCACTTTAACCACAAAAAAAATCACAATAACTGATTCTATAGCTACAGTATAAGTAGGTACATACAAAAAATTTAAAGCCTAAATCACACTATCAAAAAAAATTACATTCAAGAAATGAATGAAAAGAGTGCTTTAATAGCTATTTTAGCACTCAAATGAGTTTTAGAGTCTATAAAAAACAGAGTAAATGGTTGGAAAAGTTGTTTTTTTTTTGAGTGTTTGAGAAGAGTATTTTTTTCCAGCAATGGCGTACCCTGGGCTGTACCCCGGATACGTGCACGCGCTGGCGGCGGCGTCGCAGGCCGCGTCGATGGCGGGCAGCCACCCGCAGCACCAGCCCCCGAAACGGAAGCGCCGCCACCGCACCATCTTCAGCGAGGAGCAACTGGAGCAGCTGGAGGCGACTTTCGAACAAACGCACTACCCCGACGTCGTCCTCAGAGAGCAGCTCGCCCTCAAAGTGGACTTGAAGGAGGAGCGGGTCGAGGTGAGTGAGTTATTAACTGCTTAAAACCGAGATTAAACACTTTGTTGGTATTGGCGACAATGCGTAAACAAGTAGTTAATGTATGTGAAGGTGAAGGGTCCTCGAAGAGATGCTGACGCATCGGCAGCCACCCAGATTCTAGCGCCTTTCAAATGCTAAATGACGTCTCGAGGATGAGGAATGCTCGACTCGAGTGGAATTGGTTAAAACATAAGTCGGTAGCTTGTTTGTATAATGATTTAAATGTTTACCGGGGGCACATTCGAGGCTTGAAAGCGACATTTTTGTTGACGATGGTGGAGAGGACGAGAGGCGAGAGTAATTAGAAAAGTGGTCGGGCACAGTTAACAAAACTTTGGGCCTTTGTCAGAAAATATCACTCAAAAGTTCAATTTTTTCTTAACAAGTCATTCTTAAACTTTAGACAAAATATCTACAAAACTGACGCAAATCTTTTACATTCTTTTCTTATTTTTGTTTTAATTGAGGTTAAAAAAATGATTCTTCGTAGGAAAAGAAAAAAAACTTAAAACCAAAACAACAGCGTAAAAAAATCAATTTAGAAAAATTTTCTTAGAAAAAATTTTCCGAAATCGTCGATAAAATTACATAAAATCGACAGTAAAAAGTTTAAAATCGGCACTAAAGTATCTCATTTCGTAACTTGTGAACATTAATAACAGTGTTATCAAATTATTGTCTTAATGTAAACATGAAATAAAAACATAATTCTATTGCTAACGTGTATCTGTTGATAAGTATTGGTTTATAATTTTACAAATATTTTTTTTCTGTTTCGTGGTTTCGTTGTTTTGATAATAATGTGTTTTATTTGTCTCGATTATCGCCTCGGTAAGGAAAGAAAGGCACATTTGTAATAAAAAAATAAGACTTTAGTGCTTTGATAGTCGTGATACATAAATAACTATTTAGTAATATTCATCGTAAATTGTACTATGCTAAAACCTCATAAGTCTGTTTTTGTCGCACCTTAACAAAATCTGATAAGTCTATTTTTGTCGCTCTCATTTGCACCAGTTGCACATTTTGAGCAATTTTGGACCCTCTAAACAAGAAGAAACAGAAAATTTGAGAAATGAGCGAAGATTAAAAACCAAACGAAACCTTTTTACAAAATCGACCAGTTTATTTTTCATTTCGAATGATGCGCTCTCTTTTCAATTTGACATTTTGCCATTTGTTGACATTTTGAAAACATGGCTCCCACTCTAAAACCAACAGTCAATTTTATAGGCACATTATCCATTCAAAACCGGATTAAGTAAAATTACCTACATGTTAAAAATATTTTATATTAAAAAAATTTGTGAAAAAAAATTATAATTCATGAGAAAATAAATGCTTCAACAGCAAAAGGTTTATCAAAAATAAACATTTCTTTAAAAATTTAATTAGACCTTTTGATGCTTTATGTCAAAATACACCAGTTGATAAAAATTGTAACTGATTATGCAAAAGTGCAAAAAACAACCATAAATTAGACAAAATCTTCTTTTATTTTCAAGCGGTCGAAAATTGCGCTTTTGTCTCTATAGAAACGGTTGAAGTGTTTTTTTTTTTGTAAACGGAGTGAATTACTTCAAATCCTAAGAGTTGAAATGTATGTCCACAGGGGTTGTTTGGCCGAGTCAAATATGATGTCATTAGAAGCATTTCACACGGTAAAATCACGATTTATTTACCAATAGTTGCACGAATTATTTAATAATTAAATTATCTCTAGCTAAAAAAAACCTCGAAACAAGCGAAATAACAAAATTATTAGGCAATATTTAGTCGCTGCCAGTCTGGTGTAACACGAGTCGCCTATGTGCGTGGCTGACAGATGTCAAAATCAAAAATAGCAAGATGTCCTTTTAACCTTAAAAGTAACAGAGTTCAAATTTCTTACTTCTATTCTAAATGATATAAAATATAATCTATCATTATTTGATAAAAATCATCTACATTTTTTTACCTACTTACAAATTAAAAAAAATTAAATTTAATTTTTTAAATTTATTTACTCTTACAAAAATTTTAGGAAATGTACCTTACCAATATCCAGTTAAGTGTGCAAATTTTTAACAATTTTATTTAACTATAAGTCGAGATTTTTTGTGGCTTTCCATTTGAAAAAATTTAGTTACGGGTATTTGAAGTTTCCCAAACGTAACCTTAAATTTTGGAGGTTTGTTAATTATTTTTCCAACTATAAATACACGAAAGAAAAGATCTAACCTTTCTTTTTCATATGCTTAAACATGATTTCAAAATAATAAAAAATGGTAGAGCTATCAATTTTTAGAGAGGAATATGCAAATTAAAAAAATTCAAAAAAGTCTAAACACTTCAAAAACGGTTAAATTTAGGTATAGAAAAATCTGATAAAAACTCTCTCAAAATCACTTGAGCAATCCGAAAACGCAATAAAAAACATAACTTTCTATTTAAAATAACAAAGTTGATACCCATTTCCGGTGTAACCGGAAGTGCTGCCATCTTGAAAATATTTTCATTGAGCAAAATCTAATCGATTATGCTACAGGCAAAATTTTAGATAAATACCGTGCGATCAAAAAAAAAGTAGAGTAGGCGACGATTAATATTCTACAGTTGTCAACGGGAATCTGGGCTGGAAATTTTCCACACAAACTGATAGTGAAAAATGACCATTCACCGTTTTCATCTTGTACAGCATTTTAGTAATAACTTGCAACAATAAAAATTTTCTGCTCTAAAATGAACATTATTTCACTCAAAATGAATAAAACACCAACTTGTCAAAGTTTCCGCTGACATTTCATGTCCAAAATCAGTATTGCCATCTGAAAAACTTTAATCACCGCCTACTCTAATTAATTTTTTTTGATCGCACGATATATCCCTGTTACAACTCCCAATACTTCGAATGTGGGGTTTATCCGGAACAGCCCGTATGATGTTGTACATATTTTTTTAATTTGCGTTTATAATACGTTTATTAACGCCTCTCAGTAGGAGTCGTTTATGGCTATCAATAAAAGCACACTGTACTTTAATGAATTTAGGGTTATTTAGTTTTTGTATGCCGCTTCTGACTTGTCTGGTAACAAATTTTTCGTTATTGCTTCGGCAATTTCGTGAATTTCGGGCGGAGTGCAAACTAAATTCTGATGTTGGCTCATAATTTATTTATTATTATTATGTTGTAACACTAATAATTAATAATTTGTAAATTTTATTTTTAATGCCAAACGGCAGAAATGATTCAAAAAATCAGGTGGGCGCCGAGTGTTACCAGCCGATACCAACTAACACAAAATTCTCTAGATGACAAAAAAATATTTTTTCGTGTATTTGATAGAAATGTAAATTGTTTTTTTTTAAATGGAATTTACCAAGTCAAAATTTTGGTGAAAAAATTGGTAGCAGCTTGTCTCCATAGCCACAAATTTTGATTGCTCTTTGTTTTTGTCCCTAGAAATTTTGTTAAAAAATTATGGTTATTTGTTTCAAATTGAGATGTTGTCAAAATTTTGACTTTATGAATCTTGTGTGCCTGTTTGCTCTTTGAAAGCGCTATAATTGAATACCTGAGGTCAGACACCTAAGCTCTAAAGACCGAATTCAGTGCTAATAATTTTGATAGAAACACACCGCAAGTAAGTACAATGTTGTAGACAAAAATGAGGTTCTTGCTACAAAAACGGATGTTTATACAGAAAAAAGTTCTTAGCAAAAGATACAAGTGGGTATTATGATGATCGGCAATAAATTTTGTGTAATTTATTGAAATGAGTTCAAAGTTGATGCATTTTATAAATTCTTCAGCTTTAGTTTCAAAATTGTTACTTTTTCAACTCGTTCCTCAAAAACGATGCACAAGACACTAATTTAATTGCGTTCTTTTCGAGGTTCTTTCTCATTCATGTTTATTTTGTATTCTTGTCAATTTCTTGCTAAAAATTGAGAATGTTTAGCAAATCTCCATTACAAATTGCTTCTACATTTTAAAGGTCCTTTTTCTAACTTCCTGCTTGCGAACTATTTGTTTCCAAATTTGTCAAAACTGTTAGCGGTACCGAATTTGTTCCTTTTTTGGTGTTTCGTTTCTAAATTTTCTTAGACGATTTTTTGTGTTGACGTTTAATGACACTGTTTTCAAATTAATTCAAAAAACCGGAACTGCCAACTTCCTTTATTAAAATTACCATGAATGAATTTACTAGTGGTGCCAACGTTAAGACTGTTTGGCATTTCCATTAAAAAAAAAACAGACTTTAGTACATTGTTCAATTCAAAATCTGAGACTTTGATCGTTAGCAACACATTTCTTCACGATTTCAGTTAGCAACTCTTTTCTTCACGATTTTGGATACTTAGCGACCATTAAATAAAGCTACAATTAAACTTTATACATTTTAATTATGAATATTAATAGAAAATGAACAATTATTTAAAGTATTAAATGTTATCAACATCTTCTACTTTTAGCAAACGTAATTCATCAGCTCGGCAGCAAAAAAGCAAAAATCATAACCACTTTCATGAACAGGAAGGTATCATCCGGGGCCTTAATGAAAAACGTGTTGATGTTATCCATCGTAAAAACCTTAGATTTTTTGGCCACATATCCGTAACATTGAATACAAGGACCACAATGTTGAAGATTTCAAACTTTTAGCCTACAACAATACGTTAAAAATTAGTACTGAAAATGAATGTAATTAATGACAAATACTTTTTCAAAAAAGAAAGCGATTAGGATGCTTTCATCACTTCCCTTTACTTTTTTTTGATTTTCTCCATGAACAAAACTGTTCATGAGTTTTCTCATACTTTTCTCTTGCCTTCGACGGTAGCAAATTTGAATTAACTTTTAACTTCTGCTACTGTTGTTAAAATATTGGAAAACCCTTCACTCAATTCAGTCATTTTGCACAATAAAAAATGTATTTACTAAAAACATCGTTCTCTTGTTTTGCTACCATGTTACCAAAATGTGACACCTTGATCAA